TTGTGGGATACACACAGAAGATAGAGACAAAAAAAAGCATGATCTACAGGAGACAATAATCATAGGATACAAATTTAGAAATAGGGCGTTGAGTACAAGCCTTAACCTCCTTTCTAAGAGCAATAGGAAAACTTAAATCATCAATAATAGGATTGTCAACTATTAATGAAGAAATAGAATGAGGTACATTACCTGTAGAATCAGTGAAACAGGATCCGGAACGGCACAAGGGATGATGATTGACTTGGTGGCACAAGAGATGGTTTCTCTTTCTGGCATCGTGAATAAGTCTTAAAATCAACCTTACCCAAATGGCCCCCAATGTCAGGCTCAACACCAAAACAACTCTTAGGCTCCCTCTTACCACAAATAACAACCTGCTGACTAGGAGTGAAAAAAGATAACTTATGCTGATATGGCCTCATCTCATCTGCAATCTCATCTATAACACTCTCCCCTGGAGGAGATGGCAGAGAAGAAGTAAAAAAGGACTCAGATTCACGGAAGGTGACATCCATACTGACATACACTTTTCGAGTGTGAGGATCATAGCATTTGTAACCCTTCTGAGTAGAAGAATAGCCAAGAAAGGCACAACGCACGGCTATAGGATCAAGCTTTCCCTGAGTACGAGGTTGCAAATGAACAAAACAAACACACCTAAAAACCTGAGGAGGAAGGGAAGATATGGAATAAGTCACAGGAAGATGTGCAAGAGGAATTTGGAATTGGTGGACACTGGAAGGCATACAGTTGATGAAATAAGCAATAGTAAGAACAACATCATCCCAAAAAGACTTAGGAACTTTCATGGTAAACAAAAGGGAGCGAGCAACTTCAAGAAGATGGCCACTCTTGCATTTAACAATTCCATTCTGCTCAGGAGTGCCAACACAACTAGTCTGATAAAGAATGCCATGCTCCTCAAGGTATGCTCGGAAAGCTCCATCAACATACTCAGTCCCATTATCACTCCGAAGAATTTTAATGGTAGCAATAAAGAGATTGCGTACCATTTTATGGAAAAGGTGAAAGCAAGAAAAACCTCACTTTTAGTTTGAAAAAGATAGACCTAAGTCACACGGGAATAACAACCAATAAAAGTGACAAACCAACGATATCCAGAAGTAGACACTACGGGGGGAGGCATATGAACAAGCATAAAAGGAAATATACTTTTTTAATTAACTGAAGGATAACAGTACGTTTATGCTTAGCAAGCTCACAAGCATCACAAACAAAAGTGTTCCTAGAATAATCTCAAACTAAGGAAGGAAAAAGTCTTTCTAAAATACTAAAGGATGGATGACTTAAACGACGATGCCATTGATGAAGGAGGGGAAGAGGATAACCAATAGTGCATTGAAGAGGCTGAGTGTTGGACAACGGTAATGGAGGAGGAACAACATCCATAAAGTACAATCCACCATATGCTTTACAACTGCCAATCGTTTTCCCTGTAGCCAGTTCCTGAAAGACACAATGAGTAGGAAAAAATATCACTAAGCAGTTTAGGGAAGTAGTAAGGCTACTAACAGAAAGTAAGTTGGTAGAAAAATTAGGAACATGAAGCATGGAGGAAAGAGAAAGTAAAGATGAGCAATGAACAGAACCCTTGCTGGACCACTCTAACCTTATCCCACCCAAAACAAGGAGAATAAGTAAAGAAAATACTAGAGGCACCTGTCATGTGATTAGTAGCACCAGAATCAATAATCCAAGAAGGCAATGAGGATGTACTAAGAGCACTAGCAGAAGTACCTGTGTAGGCAAAATTGGAAGAAGTAGGAGTCGAAGACACTGTGGTAGATGGAGAATCAAGTCGAGCCATCATATGCCTGAGAGTGTGTAATTCATTGAGTAGTACTGGGTTCACAGGAAGTACTAGTTGCAATCTTAGACACACGTGCTTGTGGATGAGCTGTACTACCACGGCACCATTCAATTTCCAACAATGCTCACGATTATGTCGGTCTTTTCCACAATAATCACACTTTAAACGATCCCGATCACCTATGATACCCTTACTACGAAATTGAATTGAACTAGGCTTAGGATCACAAGTAGTAGGAGTCACAACCAAAGCAGATCGATGCTGAATAGAGGGACGGACCATAGCACACCGATTTTTCTGTTGCTGAACAAGAGCATAAACCTCTCGTAAGATGGGAAAAGAAGAGCGACCCAACACTTGAAGGCGAATTTGATCATACTCCAAATTAAGGCCAACAAGGAAGTCATACACGCTTCTTTTCCACGGTTTGCTAAAATAAAGTTGCATCCTTGGAACAAACAGCCCGGAAACTCTGATAATAATCCAGTTATTGCCAGAAGCTACTTAATTTAGCATAGTACATCGCGAGTGAGAGATCCTTCTGATCCAAGACTCGAAGTTTCTTCCTTAACTCATGCTTGTGCGTCATTACCCTACTGAGAATACATTTGGGAAGCAGCGGTCTAAATCTTATAAGCAGTATCCAGTAGAAGAAAAGACCTATTGATTGTAGGCTGCATAGAGTTAATGAGCCAAGTCATAACCAAAGCATTCTCAGACACCTATTGAGTATGCAAAGGATCATCATAGGCATGTTGAGGAAGATCACTGGTAATATAACCAGTCAACCGGCGAGCAGCATAGCAAGACTACAAGAGCAGGACCAAATCAGGTAGCTGGTGCCATCAAGTTTCACAGGACTGATTTGAAGAGATGGGCTATCGTTAAGAGTCACAACATGATGTTGCCTATAGTCCGCATTGATCGAAGGATCCTTATTCTCACCCTTAGCCATTCAAAATTAAAACCACACAACAGGGACAACCCAAACAAACAGAAGCAAGTCTAAAAAAATAAACTCGGGACTAGTATGTTACTTGTAGAGCCCAAAAAACAAAGCTAGACCCAAGCAAACACTGTTGGGACAACACCTATATGAGCCGAATCAGTCATTCAAGGAGAGAAGTCCCAGAGAAACTGCAAAACATGAACAACAAAGGCCAACAATGCACCAGTCGGCTCCCAAGGACTAGGGAGGAAGAGAAAAATCAACTAAAAACCTCACTATCAATGATTTCAAGAAAAACCACACATTTTTTCAAAAAATAAGGAAAAATAGAAAACCAATCAAATAATGAGTAAAAAATTAAAATAAAATCATAGGGCTTATTTTCGGCCCTAGTTGAACATGCTGAATATATATATATATATATATATTTTACAAAATCTGAAGTAAAAAACGAAGAAACAAGGATAAGAATAAGAAATCTTCAAGGAGGAAGATATGGCTCTGATACTACGTCAGAAATATAGATGAAGGAGAAGAGAGAAAGAAGATTTTATTGATATGTAGAATTGTGTGTTTTGCAATGAGATGATGTAGCCTATTTATAAGGCAAAGTAGATCAGAGCTTATGCCATGGATTACATCATAAAATAGGGTTGATGTCATGGATGACATCAGAATAGGGCTGATGTCATGGTGTGTCATGGATGACATAGACACTAACACTTAACAATAGACATGTTCACATAGTCTGTGGGACTGATGTTGCTTCAGTCATCCATTGACAAGCTGCGTTTGTTGAATGTCTTCATGCCAGCTTGAAGGGAAGTGTTGAATATAGGAATTAGAATAATTTTATTTTTAGTAGATTGTATAAAATCCATGATTGTGTGAATCACGGATTTAGAGCCTTGTTTATATTGTTTCCTAAATTGTATCATGAATATATTTATACATGGCCTCTACCTCATTTATAGGTAAGCCAATACCATTGTTTTTCATTCTATTCTCCTAGTCACCACTTCCTTCTGGCCGCCGCTGCCGCCGCCATTGGCAGTCACCCAAGTTGCCAACCCCTCCCTACCTTTAGCTGCCACACCACAGTCCCGTTCTACCCTTCCCTTTCTATGCAAGACTCCTTATCTCTCCCTCCATCCCTTGTGGATGTCTCTGTCTTTTAGGGTTAGGATTAAGGTTTGAAAGGAAGGAAGGTGAGAAGTGGGGGGCTATCAGGGCAGAGGGAAAGGGAGGGGATGGTGAGCGGTAGGAGAGAAGAGGAGAGGGAAGTGAGCATCGGACCGGGGACAAGTCGGTGGAGGAGGTGACACTTGCAGCATCACAACCAAAGCAGATCGATGCTGAATAGAGGGACGGACCATAGCACACAAACCAAAATTCAAATTTAGAAATGGGTGTCCAACATTTTTTATTGGGTGCATTTAGAGGGTTTTTTTTATTGGTTGCATATTTTTTATAATACTAAGATTGCCCATCAAAATATAAATGAAGATAAAAGAAATGTTACTTGTATCCCTATTTCTTATGTTTTTCTTTTTTACTTCAAATGAGAAAACATAATCATTTCTTCTCGTCTTGTAAAGTTAGAGACCACAATTATTTCATTTCTTTTATTATATGATGTATGCATTTTTTTTCTAGAACCTTTTTACTCATTTTTTCAAGACTTGGTTCACCATTGGCTTCAACAAAGGGTTCTTCTAGTTGACGGCCTATCTTCATTACATTGCTTGTGAAAGGCACAAAATGCTATATCCCAAGATGATTGAGCAAAGGAAGAGATTTAGGGGCTTGTGAAACGGGAGAAAAAAGACTTATTTCCTGATAACAATCCTGCATTTTTCTTCATTAGTTCACAAATGATGGCAAAAGATCTTCTTGTGCAATTGTATCCGTAATTTAGTTGACAGGATATGCAAAGAATTATGGACTGATTCAATTGAAAACTTTCATGGGGCTAACTTGATAAAGTTAAATATTAGTTAATGCCTAATGGGATATTTTTGGTCATTTTGTTTATAAGCGAAGAAACAAAAGGCCATCTCTACTAGTGGAGACTTTGGGTAGTTTGTTTGGTTTCCATAATTGGCCAATCTAACATCTGCAATTTTTGGAGTTACATTCATCTTATGAAAATACTTGTTTGCCTGATGATTATATCCACTAGACAAATGAATAAACCTTAATTTGATTGATCTCCAGAGGATCCCAAAAAAGTTTGCTGCGAAATATGGGAATGAACTCACTAGCATTGTCACGTTAACTGTTCCAAATGGTCGAATTTGGCATTTGGGAGTGGAAAAAGCTGACAACATGCTTTGGTTTCACAACGGTTGGAAAGAATTTGCAGAGCATCATTCTATCAGCTGCGGATTCTTCATATTGTTCAAATATGAAGAAAATTCAAAGTTCAATGTTCATATATTTGATTTAACTGCTTGTGAGATTCACTATCCAAGAAATACTATTAGCATTTCTGAAGAACCAAGTCATGGAAAACAGTATCCAGCAAAGGATGAAGAGGAAGTAGAATTTCTGGGCGTAAATACTTGTAGCAATTCTGTCACGAGGCAACCAGTGACAACCCAAGAAAGAGAGAAGGCGGTTAATGCTGCCATGATGTTCAAGCCCAAAAATCCATTTTTTACAGCCATCTTGCGGCAATATAATGTTCACCGTCGTTGTGTTCTGGTTAGCCCTTAAAATCCTATTTTCAATATGGCAGAGCCATTTGTGTTGCTTCCTTGGTTGTGAATATATTCGTCTGATAACAATGTTCTATGTTTTCTATTTACATAAAACATGAAACAAGATTTTTTTTGTATTTTTATTTTTTTTAAATTTATGAAAATTTGTTTGGCGTAGACAAATATTTTGAAGGAAAAAGAAGAAAAAGAAAAGAAAGAAGAAGAAACATGTTTAGTGAGTTGCTGGAGGTGGTGGTGGCCGTTGGAGTGTTTCGGAGTCACGGAGTGGCTAGACCATTGGATAGCCGAAGGGTAGCCGAACATCTCCAAAGAGTTGCTCATTGGAGGTCAGAGGTGGCCGCAGGTGGTGGACAATGATGGGTGATGGGGGAGGGAGGAAAGAGAATGAAAGCTTGTTTTGGAAACAAAAGAAAACACTTCTTTTTTTTTGTTTCCAAATTTTTTGAAAATTGTAGAATATATTCCACTTTTATGAAAATGAAAACAATATATCGAAGAAGTTTTCATTTCTAGTTTCCAAAAAAATGAAAATGAAATTTGGAAGCGTTGACAAACGATCCAAACTATGTGTTATAGAACCATGGAAGCCAACCAAATATCTATGCCAATAATATGTACGAGTGTGATTTCATTTTGATATTTAAATTCTTCTTGCTTGTGCAGTATGTGCCAGCCAATTTTGCACGGAATCATCTGAATGCGGCTTTGAAATTCATTGAACTTCAGGTTTCTGGTGGAAAACGGTGGAAAGTAAGTTGCTTTTGTGTGGATGGTAGGGTGCTAAATCTAACCAAGGGATGGTCAACATTTATGAGGGAAAATCATTTGGTGGAAGGGGATGTTTGTGTCTTTGAATTGATCCAGGCTAAGGATGATGTGCTGAAAGTGTCCATATTTCGCACGCAAGGCAGTGAAGAAACCTTCTGACTTCTGAAGTGAAACTTAACTGAACTTTCTCAGGTACTTATTTCTCTTTGGCGGCCCTCTTGTTACTATTGATTTTGTTGCATCCATTTAACCTTTTGTCTTGGTTGCTGATTTGCTTGGATGCAGTGACTTTTCTTTATGTGTTTTGGGGGTGTTCTGTTCTATCAACTGATGTGGTTTGCACAAATGGTATGCCAATGCTGATGTATCGTGTATCACTATCACCATCAGCTTTTCAGTTTAACTTGAAACCTTGCATTGTTTGTTCAGTTGTTAATAAAAATGTGTTTTTGATTAGGGTTTTTAATTAATGGTTGAGTCTGTTAGGAATTCGTAACACCTAAATAGGGTCTGTAGAATATGAAAAAGCGAGAAGAACAAACACAATATTTACTTGGTTCACCCCAAAACTAGGATTATGTCCATGGTTGCTACGGTTCCATAGTTACACTGTGATTAGAAAAGTTGTAAGAGATGTAGTGATAGCATCCGCTTAACTGCATATAAATAGAATTAGAATAACAGGTCAGAAGTGTGAAAATACCAACAATACCCTTACTCCAAATTCAGGTTGGGGCCAAGGCCTCCGAACACCCACCTTTGGGCAAGGGGGCCCTACCCCTGCCAACTTACTGCAAAGTTGGATGTTGTAGTTGAGTAGTTAATGTACAAGACTCATCAAGATTCACATTACCCAATGGAGTTTTGAAATTATCGAACCAGAACCAACAAATTTTAAATTTTGAGTACTATTCTGGTCTTTTTTTCTCTTTTCTTTTTTGAGCACTTAGCATTGTTGTTTCAGTTGTCCTTCCATTCACAGACCTTAGATAGCTTAAGAAGGCAGATGACCCACTGCTGCAGATGGTCAAGGTATGATCTTGATTGGATGGTTGGATTTACAGACTTGAGTTATGGATATGATTACCATAATGAAGTTGGATCAATCTTCCATTTCAGCACAGCACATGGTCAATTCTGAGTCTAATTAATACTTGCATGGTCATCAAAATTGATAATGAAGAGTAGGATGAAAGGAATAGTGCAGAAAGAGATGTAAGAAGAAGCTGTATCACACCAGTAATGCTGGATTACCTCATCACATATTCATGCGCTCTGTTTGGTTTAGCAGGAAAAAAAAAATTTCAGAAAATATTTTTCATAATTTTCTTATATTTTGATGTGTCCTTAAAACTAATGTACACTTGGGGGGGTGGTGGGACGGGTGATGGTGGTGGTGGCAGCGGTGGTAAATAGGGATAGAGATGCACATGTGCAAATGCTTATGAGTTCCGAGCAGGCATGGTATTTTCTGTATGGATTCTGGAATGGATAACATTGCATTGCGACATATCTGTTTGGATGCCAGGAATTTTGAAGTGAATAAAAATGTGATTTTTGAATTTTGGTAATTCCAGTCTTTGAAACGAATTGAAATAGGAGATTTATAATCATTTCTCAACCTAAGCAAGAATATAATTCACTTTGAAATCTCACAATCCTAGATGAATGTTAACTATATAAGAGTAATAAAATTAGTTGGACTTAAAATATTTAAAATTTTATCTTTTCAATCAAAATTCTTCACAAAACTAAACACTTCAATAACATTGATGGTAATTTTATTACTGGCAATGAAATTTGTAATAATGATATTTTCGTTCTCTCTTGAGATTTTGTTATCCATGCATAACCTCTCGGAATCAAGAAATTTTTTAGTTTTGGCATTGGTAAAATGTGTAAAACATTCTCTTTATCTCTGTTATGATAAGGTTCACTAATAACATTTCGGAAAATTATTATAAAAATAAACCAAGTCCTCAGTAATAAATCTAACCTTAACTTTTTATTTATTTTAACTCAAACCATAAATTTTTAAAATATTATCAATTCTAACTATCCATTGTATCTGTTAGTTACTAATGGAGAATGGGCAATTTAGATAATTTAACAACTCTTTTTTCTTTCATTACGGTTGACAGTCATCTCTCACCCCTACCATCATCGATCACAACCTCTCATCTTTCCAAATCCATTGCCATCACTTCATCTCTTTTTCCCGTCAAACGTTACTCCTCTCATTCCTCAGCTCACTGCTACCTCCTTGTTCCTTCTCTAGTCAATAGCTATTGTCAGCTATTGTCACTGTTTAGCACCACTGGCAAAAAGTGATTAAATTGTCTAAATTGCTCCTAATTTGTGAGTTATTGGTTAGAATTGATATTATTTTTAAAATTGAGAGTTTAAACTGAAATAATTAAAAAAATTAGGGTTTCCTTTAACAATTTTTTTGGGACATTTTAAAAAGAAGGGAAAAATTGTTGGTAAATTCAAGTTGAGGGGTGCGTTAAGCATTTAGTCCAAGATTAATCTTATTTGGTGGGAATTACACGTGTGAAAAAATTACAGAAAAAGTCGCTGTTGCTGAATAGATAAATAACGGTATATTTGAACAAATAGTTTGATATGTAAACAAATAGATAACATTTGAATAGATAGGCAAATAAGTAAACTTAGAACATATAAGTATTTATTTGGACAAACACTTTCCTTTGGGCTTAAAAAAATTTAAACTTGGGACTATTAGCCTAATGTTGTTTTTGATTGGGAGATTTGAGAAGAGATTTGGGAAGGGATTTGGAAAGAGAAAGGAAAAATGTGTAAAATTAGGTGAAATTGAGGTATATTTTATTTACATTTCACCCACATTTTTCATTTTATTTTCCAAATTCCTCTTTAAATTCTCATACCAAACACAACATAAGTGTTTTAGAAATGGACATCTAATTTAAGTGCACTTGAGAAATAATATTTTATTAAAATCAAATATTTCAACACTATAAATATCAAAATTAATTTAATTTTATCATTCTTATTTTAACACACTATATATTTATATATAAATATTATATTTTCCCAATTTTGTTGCCACGAGCCACACTTTTCTTGGCCAGCATCCAATTTATTTGTCAACCAACCATCCCATTCCAACCTTATCCAACTCCTCTCATCTTTCTCCTCACAAAACCTCCCCATTTTATTCTCTCTTGCTCTCTCTCAATTCCCAGAAACTTTCATACCCCATCCCCAATCAGGTAAACTTTTTACTCTTGCATAGATTGACAACACTTTCTTATATTCCTTAATTATAGTCTGTTTATGTGTACTATTTAAGCTTTATTTTTTGGGCTAAACTCCTCATTATATATATATATATATAGCAGGTTGTGGGTAAGATGACAATGGCAACAGCAACAGCAACAGCATCAGCAACTCTGTCTGCGGCAACATTTGCCGCCACCGTGAGCTCAGGCCGGTCTTCCCAGAGGAGAAAAACCAGAGTAAACTACATTGGTGGAATGAACTGTTTTAATGGGCTTAAAGCTCATAACAATGTGGCCTCTTTAGGCGTTCCTGTTTGCACTGAACAGTCATTTGCCAAGATTGTTAGCTCTTTGAAACTTCCATCACAAGGCAGAGGTGGTGGTGGTGGTGCTCTGTCTTCCACCTGTGACGCAGCTGCTGAGATATTCAAGATTGCAGCAATCATGAATGGGCTTGTTCTTATCGGAGTTGCTGTGGGTTTTGTTCTTCTCCGAATCGAAGCCTCGGTTGAGGAATCTGAGTGAGAATTTTAGGTTTTTTTTTAATTTTTTGGGTGATGGATTTGTGATTGTATCTTCTTTGTTGATTCTTCGTTTGATTTAGAACTGTAATTTTTTGGCTGCTTAAACCAAACTACCACAGTGGTTTATATTATAAAGCAGTGGCCGATCTAAAATTTTTTATTTGATGGGTCGTGCAAAGGCTGAAATACTAATTCTCAAGTCATAAAAATTTAAAATAAAATAGAAAGAAATTTTAACACGGACTACGGTATTGTTTTTGTAATAAAATATAAATATATGTACTTTTATAATTGTCTCGCATAAGAATTTCATTATTGTATCAGAAAAATAACTAATGGGCGCAAATGTATGAGAAACCCAACAATAATTCAATCAAAAAATTCACAATTGAACCCAATAAAATAAAATAATACCGCTATATTAATTGAATTTAAGCTGAACAAATTCGGTAGATAAATTATTAATTAAAAAAAAAAAAACCTATACTAGTGAAGTGTGTGTTAGGATCAAATACACCCAGAAAAATTATCTCACACACACAGAGAACACAATATTTACGTGGTTCGACTTAATGCCTACATCCACGGACAGAAATGAGAATTTTCACTAAAATGGAGCAAAATACAAATACAGAGGAGGAGATGAAAACTCACTCAACTCACAGCTCTCACTCTCCAATTTCTGATATATGCAACCCCTCCTCACTCATCTCAATTTATAACCAAGAGAGGAGGAGTAGGTGAAGTGATAGCCATAATTGGCCAGGGTGGTGCCACCCTCACTATCTTCCTTTAGTGAGTTGGTGATCTTCCTTTAGTGAGTTGGTGTTGCCCTCCACTAGTTTCTTTTACCACATGGTGCCACCCATATCATGTGGATGGTGGGCTCCTTACCATGTGGGTAGTGGATGGAGCCAACAAGGTGTAGTCTGAATAATTTGCACAAACTAAGAAGCAAAGGATTTTTAATTCAAACTATAAAACTTGTGGGGTATATTTCAAACTATGATCGTTGGGTTAACGAGACCAGTAGGCGCAAACAATTATCGAGAACTAGAATTAAAAATCCTTTTCTTTTTGTTCCCTATTTTTTTTTTTTGGAAAAAAAATATGATACACCCTCCTTGAATGGTGTATATATTATATACACATTATAACAAAAAAATAAAATTATATAATTTTATACTTTTTTAGTCACAAAAAAAAATGTCATAACCAAATAATACATTAGATATAACTAAAGATTTCACGAGTTATAACTAAATAAGAAAATTAGTTATAATTAAAAATAAATTGACATAATTTGTGAATGCATATAATAGAAGGCGTGTATAGCAGAATTTCTCAGATTTTTTCTTTTACCGGCGGCTGATGAGGTCAGTGACCATTAGTTAAGCCCTTGCGCAAAAGTTAAATTCATTTTGTAATTCCCAAGAGAGGATGAGAGAATTTAAGATGCCATATATTATTGGAGTAATGTTATATAAATAAAAAAAAATTATATATGATATATATATATATATATATATAATAATAATAATGTAGTTTATTATGAATATTTTATTTTAAAACAAATTATTATTGAAGATAAATTTATTTATAATAGTAATATCTCATCATTTTTGTTAAAAATATCTCATCATTTTGTTAAATTTTTTGTATGAATTTTATATATATTTAGAAATTTTCATATTATTATTGGTGGAAACATAATGAATTCATGAAGAAACTAATCCATCCATCTATCTATCTATCTATCTATCTATTTATTATTTAAGGAAAATGGTATTTTTAATGAAGAGCCTTGTGAGAGTTTCAATATCTCAGACAAATTTTCTTGATTTTCTTGATTTTAAACAATTAATAAAATCTCCATTGGCTAACTTTTATTTAATAATCTCACATTGAGAAAAAAAAAAGAGTTGTTTTACTAATATAAAGGGAATCTTATACTCCCATCTCATTTAGTGAGGAGCTTTGTGAGAGTTTCAATATCTCATACTATTTTTCTTGATTTTCTTAATTATAAACAATTAAGAAAATCTCTAATAGATAGCTTTTATTTGATAATCCCATGTTAGGAAAATAAGAAGGAAAAAATAGGTTATTTTACTCATATAAAGTGAATCTTTTACTTTCATCCCATTTAATATTGTAGTGTTGTGCGTGTTTTAATTCAATAAAGTTTAAATTTTAAAAATTTTAATTAATTAATTGTGACCTAACCGATTAGGCGAAATCATTTTTGAATTGATTGATTTGTTGGTTTAACCGTGATTATAGCGGTTTTATCAAAATATATTGATTATATTTGTTTGATTTGAAATAAATTAAAGATTGATCTGATTAAAGATTGAAAGACTGAATAGCTTAATTAAAAATAAACCTTCCATCCAAATAATTTTTAACTTTTATTTTATAATCCCACATTGGAAAAAGAAAAAAAAAGAAAAGAGTTGTATCACTTATATAAAGTGAATCTTATGTAGTATTGTGTATACTTCAATTGAAGATAGTTTAAATTTTAAAATTAAAATAACATTTAAAAGTTATAATTAATTAATTTTTGTATAAATTGGTTGGTCATTTGACATAACCGATTGGGCTGAACCATTTTGGGTTTGACCGATTCACGAGTTTAATCACGATTTCTCGTACTGATTTTATTAATTTTCCACAATTAAAAAAATTTTCATTGCCTAACTTTCATTTAACCATATAAAAATAAAATTCTAATTAGTTTATGATTTATTTTATAATCCCACATCGAGAGAAGAAGAAAAAACAAAGTTTGTTTCACTATATCTATTATATAAGAAAAAGAAGGTTTTTAGGGAGAAACCTTCTAGGAGCTCCAAACCTTTATTCCAAAATTGTTGAATTTTCTTAATTTTAAACAATTAAAAAAATTCATGTTAGTTAGCTTTTATTTACATTTTATTTACAATCCCACATCGAAAAAAGAAAAAAAAAGTGAATTGTTTCACTTATATAAAGTGAATTTTATACTCCCATTTATATAAGTAAAAGGAGATTTTTAGTAAGAAACCCTATGATCAATATCTCATGCTCATTTTTTTTTCTTCTTAATTTTAAACAATTAAGAAAATCTCTATTGGCTAGTTTCCATTTAACTTTTATTTTACAATCTTACATAGAAGTTTTGATTATAAAAATAATTTTGTATGAGATTCTGAAACAGTCATAATACTTAACTTTAAAATAATTGCAATTCCACATCAAGAAAAGAAAGAAAAAGTGAGTTGTTTCACTTATATAAAGTGTTACAATCTCACATCGGGAAAAAAAAGAAAAAGTGAGTTGTTTCACTTATATAAAGTGAATCTTATAAAGGAAATGTTGAGGGAGAAGCCTTCTAGAAGTTCCAAACTCTCATTCTAAAATTATTGAACTTTCTTAATTTTAAACAATTAAGAAAATTCTCATTGGCTAGCTTCCACTTACCTTTTATTTTACAATCCCAAATCGGGACAAAAAGGAAAAAGTGAATTGTTTCATTGACATAAAGTAAATCTTATGCTCCAATTTATATAAATTATTGAATTTTCTTAATTTTAAACAATTAAGAAAATCCCCATTGATTATCTTCCATTTAACTTTTATTTCACAATTCCGCATAGGGAAAAAAAAGGAAAAACTGAATTGTTTCATTCATATAAAGTGAATCTCATACTCCCATTTATATAAGTAAAAGAAGATTTTTAGTGAGAAGCCCTATAATCAATACCGATTTCTCTCTCTCTCTCTCTCTCAATTTTAAACAATTAAGAAAATCTCCATTGGTTAGCTTCCATTTAACTTTTATTTTACAATCCCACATAAATGTTTTGATTTTAAAAATAATTTTGTATGAGATTTTGAAACTCTCATAATATTTAACTTTAAAGTAATTACAATCACACATCGAGAAAAGAAAGAAAAAGTGGGTTGTTTCACTTATATAAAGTAAATCTTATACTCTCATTTAATATTATAGTATTGTGCATGTTTCAATTCAAGATGATTTAAATTTTAAAGGTTTTAATTAATTAATTTTGTTGTAAATTGGTTTGACTTTTGACTTAGTCGATTAGGCTGAATCGTTTTCGATTTGACTGATTCACTGGTTCAACCACGGTTTTCGTTGTTTTATCAAAAGGCTGGGGCTTGCCTCCAATCCCCCATCTGGACTGGAGGCTCCAGTCCGGTCCATTGGGCCCAAATTTGGGCCTCCTTTTGATAATCCGAACCGTTCACATTTTAGGGTTTGTTGAGTACATTATCCCTGTAAAAAATCACGTTGATCGGATAATGAATACTATGTATTTTGGATCACTTTTTTATGAACTGTTAATTTTCTGACTGTCTATTTTTTTCCAGACAAAAGTGATCCGAATAGATAATATCCATTATCCAATTGACGTAATTTTTTACAGGAATAATGTACGCAACAAACCCTAAAATGTGACGGTTTTGATTGTCGAAAATGGACCCAAAAGTAGGCCCAATGGACCGAACTGAATTGGATTGTCCCAGATTTGGACTGGAGACAGTCCGGACCCTTATCAAAATATATTGCTTAGATTTGTTTAATTTGAAATAAATTAAGATTGACTTTATTAAAAATTGAATGATTGAGATTACTTGATTAGAAATGAATTTATCGTCCAAACAACTGTTAACTTTTATTTTACAATCCCACATCAGGAAAAGGATGAAAAAATAAGTTGTTTCACTATATACACCTTATGCTCCCATTTAATATTGTAATGTTTTGTATGTTTCAGTTCAAGACAGTTTAAATTTAAAAATCAAAATAAAATCTAAAAATTTTAATTAATTAATTTTTGTATAAGTTTGTTGGTCCTTTGACTTAGCCGATAGGGTGAACTGTTTTCAGTTTGACTGATTCGCTGATTTAAGTGCGATTTTAGCAGTTTTATCAAAATATATTGATTAAATTTGTTTGATTCGAAATAATTAAAGTTTGACTTAATTAACTGCTAAGATTGCTCGATTCGAAATAAACTTTCCGCCCAAACAACTGTTAACTTATAAACAATTAAGAAAATCTCCATTGGCTAGCTTTCATTTAACTTTTATTTTATAATTCCACATCAAGAAAAAAAGAAAAAAGTGAATTGTTTCACTTATAAAAAGTAAATCTTATG